GACCGTTATATATTTATTAATAAAATATATAATTAATTAAGTAATTCATAAATAAATTTAAATAAAAACCTGATTTTTGAAATTTAAAACATCATACCTTAATTTTGAAATGTGTATAAGTAAAACCAGGATTTATGTAGACTTCCCAATTTGAAATCATTGCTTCATACTGACTGTACAAATGTACTATCCAATCCAGGCCCGGTTCTGGCCCAAGGCCTCAAAAAAAAATTTGAAAGCCCAAAAAAATTATTATTTGTGATTTTTCTTACATTAAATATTTTCATGAAGATGTAGTAGTGCAAATAAAGCATAAGGCCTCCCTATCCAATAATGTCTTTTAGTTTTTATTTTGATTATTGCTTTTGAGTTTTTAATTTTAAAATATAAGATATTGAACTTCAAACGTTATTGAACTTTGAAGCAGCTAGTGTCCGCAGCCCCGTCACTTCAAAACAAGCATCACCACCACAGATCTGTTAAGAAGAGGCCGACGACGAGTTGTTATAAGCAGCGATGAGTGTCGCAGATCTCTATGTCTGACATAAAATGGTGTGAATGTAATGACCCGACCTTGCGTCGAGCCATTATCATATCATACGTATTGTCTACTGTGGGATAGTCTAGGCCCATCTTATCCCTCACGGCTTTCTGACGCGTCCCCCAAGATTCGAACCCAAGAATTCTATCATATGAGAGACTTAAGTTGAATTCTGATATCAATTGGGCAATATTTGATAAAACATTAAAGTTAAAATTTATAATTAATTTAATAACATATTTTATGGGATCCATAACTTTCCAACCACACATTTCATCAACTTTTATTAAAATTTAATAAAATTCTAATTTTTACCTAAATTAAACATGGTCTAATCAACGTTGCAATTTGACAATGCGGGGGTGCTTATGGGTATGGCAACTTGTACAGTCAAGGCTATGGTACCAACACTGCTGCACTAAGTACTGCTTTATTCAACAATGGGTTAAGTTGTGGGTCGTGCTATGAAATGAGTTGCACCAATGATGCTAAATGGTGCCTCCCTGGCTCCATAATTGTCACAGCAACAAATTTTTGCCCACCAAAACCTTCACTGCCTAATAACAATGGCAGGTGGTGCAATCCTCCCCTCCCAACATTTTGATTTGGCCGATCCGGCATTCTTGTAAATTGCTCAGTATCGAGCTGGAATTGTCCCCGTATCTTTCCGAAGGTAAGGTGACATTTTAATACTACGAGAGCGGTCATGATACACAATATTGGACAGTTGACAAGAAATTTTAATTATTTTCTTCTTTATACCATACTAAGCACAAATTCAAGCAAAATTTCCTAACATACAACATATCTACCCCATCAAACACTTGCTATTTTTCTTAGGTAAAAATGCTACTTAACTAAAAATCAACTTCCACGTAAGTAAATTACTTACTTCGAAACTTATTTATGCACTTATAAGTTAATATTTTAATTTGAGCCAAACACGTTGAGAAAACTTTTAATTTGTTTAGAAAAGATTGTCTTTACCACATCATCTCACATGAATATCATATTCAATTTTCGGATCAATGTCCTTAAACTTGCACAATTTTATATATTTTTTGTTGGTAATCTTTTACAGAGTGCACCGCACAAAGAAGGGAGGAATAAGGTTTACAATAAATGGGCACTCCTACTTCAACCTAGTATTGATCACCAACGTCGGTGCTGCTGGGGATGTCCATTCTGTATCAATCAAAGGATCAAGAACTGAATGGCAACAAATGTAAGAAATTGAGGTCAAAATTGGCATAGCAACTCGTATCTCAACAATCAAGCCTTCTCTTTTCTAGTCACCACTAGTGATGGAAGGACCATTGCTAGTTGCAATGTTGCGCCTTCTAATTGGCAATTCGGACAAACATTTCTAGGGGGTCAATTTTAAGTAGTTGGCTACCAATTCATTAGTATTTTTCAAAAAGACTTTATAAAACTAGACAATATTAAAAAAGAAAAGAAAAGGAAAAGAAAAAGAGAGAGAGAGAAAATTTTATATATCATATTGTCAAATTCTATTCAATAACACGAACTAATAGCGAGATTCTCTATTGTCGTGGTGGCTGGTTTGTAGTATGTATGGAAATAATTTTGATTTTTTCTTCTTTCTTTTTCTTTTGGCACGTAGAAAGTAGAAAGTAGAAAGTAGAAAGTTTAATGTTAGTGGAAATTAGAGCTCACAGTGATAATAGAGAGCAAATGGGTCATTGACTTCATTTGGAAAGATGTGTGTGAATGGAGTCGGTGACTTTATTTTTCGGTGTGAAAAGTTGATTTGCAATCATTAAACTTTCAATGAAAATTGTACAAGGTCCAAAAATTCTGAACCGAATCGGATCGAATCGAATCGAGCGGTTCTTCATAAGTTAAATATCCGAATGGATACCCGAATCGAGAACCGATGAGT